AAGATAAAGAATTCCAAGATTGAATGCTACAGACCGAAATATTCGCCATTGGACGTTTGGAAGCAGGGGAGTACCAGTCTGCCCTTGCAACACACTTCAACGACCACCACCGCACATATTTCGATTATAGCATCGACATAACCGCTTCAATTCGACCCAAGATAGTCCCAGAATTAGAAGGCCAAGAGTGACCACTACTGCTCAGGACTGATTCATCCGGGTGTTTCAATAATATTGTGTCAGCGACACGGACACTGCAGGACAGGTGCCTGGTCTTCGAAGAATTTCCGACCAAACCATCAGAAATCGTCTGAGTTGAGTTGAGTTGAGTTGAGTTGGGCTTTACGTCACATCGGCATTATTCCAGCCATATAGTGACGAGAACAAGTCTGCATTAATATACATTGTAAGTACAAAGTGGTTTCGTTTCAAAGACACACATTCATTACATTGTCATTTTGGAACAGAGAATGTCATAGCACTAAACTGAAAAGCAGGTAAATTCGTTAGTGACATTACACAGTTACAATTTATGATATAGATCAACTTCCCTCAGGTAGTTCAGTATCAGATGAGCGCTCACGCTGGAGAACAGATCTTTCAGATTGGTTGTGTGATAATGCGAGTCCCTTGCAGATGTAAAGTCCACACAGTCAAGCAGAATATGCTTGACGGTGAAAGCCTCATCGCAAGAGAGACATATGGGGGGTCCATCCCCATCCGTTTTTAGCAGATAGTCATGTGTAAATCGACTGTGGCCAATACGACATCGTCGTAAAATTACTTCATCACGTCTTGACTGGCAACCCATGTAGGTATAACCGATTGTTGGCTTCAATTCATGGAGTTTGTTTCTTCCTACTTGAGTGTCCCACCTTTTTTGCATCAGGTCCCGAGTATAGCTTCTGAAAGTGGGTTTGAAATCACTGTACGGGATAAGCAGTGGAGATAGGGGCTTTTCAAGAGCTGCTTTTGCTGCAGCATCGGCCTTAGTGTTACCTGCTATGCCGACGTGACCCGGCAACCAGCAGAGGACGATGTCATATTGGCCAGTAGAAAGGTCGTTGTACAGTTCTAGTATGTCCAGGATAATTGGGTGACTTGAAGTCACGTTTAGAAGTGCTTGAAGGCAGGATAATGAATCTGTTAAAACGATGAAGTTTTTGGAATTATTTTGCTGTTGAATGTAGGTCAAAGCTGAGAAGATAGCTTTGGCTTCAGCGGTGAAAATGGAACTGTTGTCGGGGATCCTAGAGGAGACAGTCTTGGCTCCAATGACTGTAGCGCTGGCAACTTGGCCATTGTCCTTGGATCCGTCTGTGAAAATGGATCTGTGAGTGTTATACTTCGAACGTAACTGGTTGTATTCCTGTTGGAACACCAAGGGATTTGTTTCAGACTTTTTGAGTTTGGTGAGGGTAAGATCGACCTGTGGTTTCACCATTTGCCATGGTGGTGAGGACAGAAGTCGGTATTGTGCAATGATGTTGAGATCAATTTTAGCTGCAGATATGTGTGGTTTGATCCTGATTCCAAGTGGTGGAACCAGGCTTGGCAGTTTAGGAAATAAGTTTTCATAGAGCGGGTTGAAAACACAATTGTATGCTGGATTGGACTCATTTGAACGTAATTTAGTGATATACTGCAGTGAGAGTTTAATGCGGCGTTGTTCAAGGGAAGGTTCATTGGCCTCCGCATATAGACTGTCTACCGGAGAGGTCCTAAAAGCTCCCAGGCAGAGCCTCAGCCCTTGGTGGTGGAGAGTCTAATTTTTCTAAATTGCTTTTGCAGGCTCCACCGTAGACAATGGAGCCATAATCTAGTTTACTGCGAACTAATGATCTGTACAAGTGAAGGAGGGTGGTCTGATCCCTTCCCCACTGTGTATTTGAGACTACTTTTAGCAAGTCTAGAGCCTTCAAGCACTTTGTTTTCAAATATTTTATGTGTGGTAAGAATGTCGGGTGGCGGTCGAATATGAGTCCAAGAACTGCTTTCGACGGATGGACAAATGTGTTGGAGATATCGTCATGGTGTAGGGAGATATATGTCCTACACCTGTAGATCAGAACTAGTGGTGGTTCAAGGCAATCTTACAGCAAATCGCTACATCGACTAAATCCCGCGACCTCACCTCCTCCCACTTTTTAAACGCCAGAGGGAGCTGTTTCAACACGACAACGCTCGACCCCACACAGCTCGTGTAACAGGTGCCGATCTTGCCAATGCAAACGTCAATGACCTTCCCGGGCCTTCCAAATCGCCTGATCTGAACCCGATCGAGCATCTATGGGACGAACTTGATTGACGCGTTAGTAAACGTCACCTCCGTCCTCAGACACTTGCGGAACTTGCCAACACGTTCCGGAGGAATGGCAAAGAATTCCCCAAGCAAAAATCCGACGACTTGTGCAATCCCTTCCAAGGCGGTGTTGAGCAGTGACGGCTGCAAGGGGTGGTGTCACAACCAGGTACTGACCTGAACGCCCCACTTGTGTCCACACATGTGCAGTGAGTGAACTGAATTAATGCTGACAATGACAACAACACATATGTTCACCTCTTTGTCGAATTTCCTTCATCTATGTTCAAGCTTAATCGACTTATGAATACTTAATTACGTTTAATACATTTCCTTATTTTTGGCCTATGCGCTTCTTTTTATGAAGAGTGTATCATCATGCCCGACTTCCTTTAAGTTATTCTATGATTTCTTCATGGAACCTCTCAAAACATCAAAACTCTCACATGCTTGATGCTTTCTATTTTGTTGTTATTACAAGGTACAATGTACTTTCCTTCAGATTTTAATACTTCTGCAACGCTTTGGTTTCAGATTTCTCATGAAAAAGGAAAGATTGTTGTCGCTTTTATCCACAGGCCTGCGGTATTCCGGGATTCAGCAGTGTTTAAATATGGCTAAATATTGTTAAAACTTGTAGATTGTATTTACATCCTTCAGATGAGATAAAGTTGATATCCCACGTGAAAAATTAAAGCAAAACATATATTGTAATTCAGTTCTTATAAATATATACGTCAAGCATAACAACATCACCCAGATCTATTGCTTATTTATTCAATAACGAAATAAATAAAAATACAGTACAACCAGAAATTATTGAGAATTTAAAAATTGTCATTTTTTATTTTTTTCACTCATTACTCACGTATTAAATGTGAATATTAGCAGAACATAACTCCAGATTCAAAGACAGGTGAACAGTTAATATTTTGTCAAGTCACCATGGGCAGCAATGCAGGCTTCAATGCGGTGGGGCATACTACTGATCAAAGAAGTTAGAAAGTCGTGGTCCATGCTGTCCCAATATCGGACCACCTCTTCTTTCATTTCAGCAATATTTGTCAGATTTTTCCTATTGACACTTTCCTTCATAAGTCCCCAAACAGTTTCTATTGGATTTAGGTCAGGGCTATAGCTTGGCCAATCTAATAATGTCATATTTTGGGTCCGAAACCAGGCCTGTGAATGCTTTGAACAATGTTTTGGGTCGTTTTCCTGCTGGAAAATCAAAATATTTCCATGGAACACGTGAGCAGATGGAAGTAAATGTCCCTCGAGAATATCTGTGTACCGCTCACTGTTCATATTCCCTTCAAATACACAGAGGGGCGTCGCCCCTATCGCAGATATGCCACCCCACACGTTAAATTTCGGACTGTACTTTGGATGCTGATACAAAGGTTTTTCAGTTTGTTTGGTCCAGAATTTCAATGTATTAGGAAACAGCCACACAGAACTTTCATCTGAGAAAATCACATTGTCCCAGTTACATTTTCTATGCTGTAAGCACCAGTTCAACCGTCGCTCCTTTTGTTCAGATTTCATGATCGGTGAAGGAATTCCTCCACTTTTCTGCCAACCCATTGCATGCAGCTCAGTTCTAATTGTCTCCTTACAGACAGCCACAGTTCCTCTATCAATCATATCCAGCGTTAAGTTTTCTAAACGCCTTCGTTTACCAAGCCGCCTCCTGTCACCGACAGTCAATTTTCTTGGCCTACCTGCGCCTCCCTAGTGCTCAGTACAATATCCATTTCCAATATTTTTCAAAACACGATAAACAGTGGACAAAGGGATGCCGATTCTACTTGAAATCACTTTAGCTGATCTGATGTCCTTGTTATAATACTCTAAAATCAACTTCCTCTTCTCTAAATCATCCATACTGAAGATCACTGAAAATATCGTCTGCTAGCAAGTAAACAAAGGGGATAACTCTTCACAAACTAATGAAAAAGGATTAACGGAGTTCTCTCTCTTGAATGAACCCAAACACTTGATAGCTGGTCAAGGTTGTTTACACTAGAAATCCAATTAAACATATTCCTAAAATTCTCATTAATTTCTGGTCATACTATTTATATATATTGAAGGCGGATTTTCGGTGACGATGACTGAACGCTTGATACAACCTTGACGTCACCACGATGGGCGAATGACGAAATACATTGTGCATTGTGCACCCCGGTGTGTCGTGCTGATCATTGCCAACGTTTATCACACCAATAGAAACTGATCATTATCGGATTGTTGTACAAATTGCAGCACCATCTGGCGCACTTCATTGTCAACGATGTCCTTTCACATACGTTTCAAGATTCCTTTTGTGTGCACTGAAGCTCTGTGGTACATATTTTTCTCATGGCGTCTATTTGTTTTGATTTTTCACATTTATTAGTAGCATTATTACTTTAGTCGTTAAAACGACGGTAAGCATAAACAAGAAATTCTGTATTTCGCATGATGTATTTTAACCGATTGGCCCCCACAGATTTCGATCGATCAACTGAACTACCTTCAACTCGATCTTGTCTATTTTATCACACGAAACAAAGGAATTATACAAACGAGTTTCTAAAGCTTAATTTATTCTAATAACACAGAACTAGCACGACATGGAAAGTAGTGTACAATTAAAACAGCGATTCCGTAAAAGGCGATCCCGTTCCGGGTGTGGTCTGAACTCCGAGTTTGCGCGGAGCAGCTGCGCGTTGTCCCGCAACAACGTAAACAAACCACGACGGGCGGATCTGGTGGTTGGCTTTGATCGTTTCAAGTATTCGATATGCCAGGTAAATTTTACTTTTCTAGTCTCAAATTAGATCACAGAAATACTCTACAGTTTTAATGAACGCTCACAAACCATCCGAAACGTAAGTGCAATGTTCCTATGCTTGGTATATATGATGGGCTAGTGCAGAACAAGCACTGTCGTAATCTCGTTGTTGTGAACCCAAGTTACTGTCAGTCCTGGTCGTGTTACGCTTCACAATCTCAAACTAACTAAAAGATACTTGAGTGAATATGACTCATCTAAGATGGCGTATTTTTTTTATATACATGCCAACAAATGTCAGATATTTCACAACCGAAACATATCCGGATCCATTTAACCTGCCATTCATGGGTACAATCTACACTCTAAACAGCAGTTGAAAAACAAAACAAAAATAAGGAAATAATGCCTACAAAACTGGTTCGCAACATGTCATTTTACAATTGTATCCCGGAGAATATTTCTTAATTTTCATATGATAATGTATCTGATGGGACTGTTAGCAGTATGTGTACACCTAATACCATCATGTTCCTTGGGTATGTTTGAGTAGCCTGAAATGTACACACATATTCTCAGAACTACTGTACACTTAAAGGAGAATACGAACAAAAACAAAACTTTTGATATATTGTAAAGGATATTCTAAAAGTCACATTCCGTGATTAAAATTGAACAAAAAAGTTTGTAAAATAGCAATAAAAACACAAAAACGTACTCGTATTTCCGCCTATTACAAACACCCGACAGTTAATGAGCAGAGGGGGTATCACGTGACATGACGTCATAAGTGCCTGTTGCTGATGGCTTTCTCTGTGATTTTACCTCACAACTTAACAGTGTCCGCGGATTCTGAAGCAGTAAAAGCTGTTCGTGGTGTCATTTCTGGAATGGTTGTTAGACCGTATCCATACGATCCGATTTTACACATCTTGCAAAACAATCTTCCACTGAAGATGAAGAAGAAGAATCAAGCGAAACGGAGGCACCGCTTGAGGTCAAAATAAATTTAAGAATAGACTATATCATTTAACAAGAATACTATTTGTCAGCAAAATGTCATACAGTTCCAGCCAGCAAACTCACCCCTATAAATATATGACCAGTCACTAAGAATTATTTAAAAAAATGTGATTACAGTTCATTTTGTGTCAAATGGGTGACTGTAGGGTGTCTGGGATTTAAAAAACAAAATAATTATGCTTCAGACGAGGGAAAATAAAATTATCTGCTTAAAAAATTACACTGGAATTATTTTGTTGAAAAAAATTAGGATCCTAGTTCTCATTAATAACGTATCAAGTCTCGATACAAGATCCCGGCCTGGTCAGGATAATATTTGCGACACAGATAAGTTATTCCCCGAAAACTGGTGAATTATAAAATACTAGTCAGGACAACGTATGTTTAATTTCCCCATTGTTTGGTTATGGAAATAGTTATAAATGGTACTCGGTCATAGCCTTAGAATGACATCTTGTCAGCCAATGAGAATACAGAACAACTTTCACGGCACACACTACTGACAAATAGCGAGTCTGATGCCGACGTGCGTAATTGGACAAAATGGAAAAATATGAAAGCAACAAGTGCTTCATGATTTGCCGTTGTATTAGGCAATGTTTCGAGTTGACTGCATCATTTAGGGCTCCATACCGAAAGAACGTTATAGCAAAACATTTTCAAGCTCATGTGAGATCACTTACTGATTTTGATAATATATATCTCATCTAATTTGTTCAAATTTATTTATAATGATTGAATATATGCCGTAAATACATAGTTTTTGTCAACTTATTATGATATTATGTTCTTCATATAAAAGTTATTAGGAAGTAATATTTCTGATAAAAGTTTCATTAGTAAACTCATAACTATGTATATACTTTTATATGAAGAACATAATATCAAAGTTGACAAAACTATGCATTTATGGCCTATATGTATTCATTTTAAATAAATTGGGGCATTTTGACTACCCCACTGGGGCAATTTGACCAGATTTGCTGGGTCATTTTGTAACGGGGGCAATTCGACTGGCAGCCGGACTTGAATTTAATTTATGTTAACAATACCATTGACAGTAAGTTGTTACAGGGAATGAGGGAGTATAAATGAATCTCGTGGATACTTTTTCCTTCCTCAGCCTAGCTTTGGGATTCCCATACCCCATGCGTTCATGTCTCTTTCATGTGCGTCCGACTCGGAATGATCGGCACATTTCTCCTGCCGAAATCTGTCATTTCACTTGGAAAACGGAAGAAATTGTGGTTCTTTCCCATGTTCGATGATGCCGTGCAACCCCAGGCAACGCAAAACACCGTCGTACCATTGAAAAGAACGACAGAAACAACACGATTTGTACTACTGTAGCGCTTGGTCTTTGGCAATATGGCGGACTCCAGGCACATTTGATGTCACAAGCGGAACGGTCACATGGGTTCCAGCGAAATATGCAAAAGCTGAGATTTACAGAAACTGTTTTCGCGATTAAAACATAATTATACATAATTTTTAATTGAAAATTTGAGAATATGTTTCTGATGACTTTATCTTTCACCCAGCAATTTATTGTAATTCACTCGTATTCTCCTTTAAATGTATCTGGCTGAAATGTATGGATCATTATGACATTACCAGTTAGGATGGTTCAGATCCCGACTTTGGTGAAATAGTCATTTATTCAGACTGTCCATTGTCTATCATTGTGAGACAGAAGAAAACAAGCTACACCAAAATGACCAGTACACCAGATGGGTGGTGGTCACATGGACACCTATACAAGACTTGGTACAGTTCACTGAACAAGGGGAATTTTAAGACTTAAAAGTAACAAGTCACAGAACGGTATATAAGGTGTGCGGATAACTGCAGTATCAGCGAGTGCACTGACAGGGGTATGATGTCTTGGCGTATACCCAATAATCATATAATATATTTATACTTCAGATTACGTATAGATATAAGTTATAAATCCGCAACAGTCCATACTAGTATTCCAATTGTGAAGTGTGCATCACCTAATATATGTGTAGTCAATGAGCTAGGTTCCCTGACATGCACATCAAACATAGTCAGTTTGCCATGTATTTAACAGCAGAGGACTTTTGTCATTTTAACTTTATGATGTAACTGATCTGTTATGACAGATAAGTTCATTGTTCTAATTTTGTAAATTTGCCTCACATTTCTTAATCATATTGGGCAAATAAAATGTCAGTAAGGAGTAACATGGAACAGACCTACCCATCAGAGCTGCAACTCTGTACTGCAGTTCGGCAACAACCAGTTAAACACAATTTCCCTGTGACTTCCTTAAGTGGCATATTTAGAAGCTGATATGATGAAGAGGAACACTGATCTCAACTGAAATGTTGCATCTACTGCAACAAAGAAGTTGTCTATCCATGAAAAGTGTTCCTCTTCAATTTCCCTGTATTTAGCACAGATCAGACAGAGCCAGTAATTCTGACAAGGGCAATGTATCCAATATCCTTGCAGGTACCACAGCTCAGAGAGAGCCAGTAATTCTGACAAGAGCAATATATCCAATATCCTTGCAGGTAGCACAGCTCAGAGAGAGGGCCAGTAATTCTGACAAGGGCAATATATCCAATATCCTTGCAGGAAGCACAGCTCAGAGAGAGGGCCAGTAATTCTGACAAGGGCAATATATCCAATATCCTTGCAGGAAGCACAGCTCAGAGAGAGGGCCAGTAATTCTGACAAGGGCAATATATCCAATATCCTTGCAGGTACCACAGCTCAAAGAGAGGGCCAGTAATTTTGACAAGGGCAATATATCCAATTTCCTTGCAGGTAGCACAGCTCAGAGAGGGCCAGTAATTCTGACAAGGGCAATATATCCAATATCCTTGCAGGTACCACAGCTCAGAGAGAGGGCCAGTAATTCTGACAAGAGCAATATATCCAATATCCTTGCAGGTAGCACAGCTCAGAGAGAGGGCCAGTAATTCTGACAAGGGCAATATATCCAATATCCTTGCAGGAAGCACAGCTCAGAGAGAGGGCCAGTAATTCTGACAAGGGCAATATATCCAATATCCTTGCAGGTAGCACAGCTCAGAGAGAGAGCCAGTAATTCTGACAAGGGCAATATATCCAATATCCTTGCAGGTAGCACAGCTCAGAGAGGGCCAGTAATTCTGACAAGGGCAATATATCCAATATCCTTGCAGGTAGCACAGCTCAGAGAGAGCCCAGTAATTCTGACAAGAGCAATATATCCAATATCCTTGCAGGTTGCACAGCTCAGAGAGAGCCAGTAATTCTGACAAGGGCAATATATCCAATATCCTTGCAGGTAGCACAGCTCAGAGAGAGAGCCAGTAATTCTGACAAGGGCAATATATCCAATATCCTTGCAGGTAGCACAGCTCAGAGAGAGCCAGTAATTCTGACAAGGGCAATATATCCAATATCCTTGCAGGTAGCACAGCTCAGAGAGAGAGCCAGTAATTCTGACAAGGGCAATATATCCAATATCCTTGCAGGTACCACAGCTTAGAGAGAGGGTCAATAATTCTGACAAGGACAATATATCCAATATCCTTGCAGGTACCACAGCTTAGAGAGAGGGCCAATAATTCTGACAAGGACAATATATCCAATATCCTTGCAGGTAGCACAGCTCAGAGAGAGAGACAGTAATTCTGACAAGGGCAATATATCCAATATCCTTGCAGGGAGCACAGCTCAGAGAGAGGGCCAGTAATTCTGACAGGGGCAATATATCCAATATCCTTGCAGGTACCACAGCTCAGAGAGTACCAGGCCAGAGCCAGACAATCCATGATGTTGTGAGGGACAGCGATGTGTTCCACCTGGAAGCGATGGTCAAGAATGGTGCCAGTATCAACGAGGTTGATGAACGAGACAACTTCACCCCGCTCCATGCAGCGTGTAATGTAGGGGCCTTAGAGGTAAGACAGGTTCACAGGAAATTTGTTAAATATCATATTTTGCTTTAGTTTTGTTTCTTATTCTAGGTATTTTGTTATCATATTCAGTGTAAAACATTCCTCTGCACTCTTACTGAATCACGCATGTCTACAAGTGATAATGAGAAACAGAAACTGCTGGACTGTTTGATCCTGAGGCATATCCACCATGATCTGCATCTCACATGGTCTGTGTCTCACTAGGTTAGTGTCTAACAATGTCTGTGTCTGATTAGGTTTGTGTTTAACATATTGTCTGTGTGTCATATGATCTGTGTCTCATTACATTTGTGTCTAACACGGTCTGTGTCTAACATTGTCTGTGTCTCATATGATCTGTGTCTCATTACGTTTATGTCTAACAAGGTCTGTGTTTCACATTGTCTGTCTGTGTCTAACATAGTCTGTGTCTCATACAGTCTGTGTCTCTTTAGGTTGGTGTCTCACATGGTCTACTTCTCATTAGGTTTGTGTCTAACATAGTCTGTGTCTCATATGATGTGTGTCTCACATGGTCTACGTCTCATTAGGTTTGTGTCTAACATAGTCTGTGTCTCATATGATGTGTGTCTCACATGGTCTACGTCTCATTAAGTTTGTGCCTAACATAGTCTGTGTCTCATATGATGTGTGTCTCACATGGTCTGTGTCTCATGTGGTCAGTGTCTCATATGATCTGTGTCTTATTAGGTCTGCATCTAATATAACCTGTGTCTATCATGGTCTGAGAATTCATTTTTGTCTAGTATATATAAAACAAAATGCAGTTTCCTTTCAACTAAGTTTGGGTGAAACAAATTCAGCAATCTGAAATCTGTGAGTGTAAATTTACTTTCAGTGTGTGCACTGGCTGCTCTGGCACGGAGCGGATGCCACCGTGACCACTCCCCGTGGCTGGACCCCAGGACATATTGCTGCCATCAGAGGTCAGGACGGCTGCCTCCAGGTGAGCGAGCACCTGGTGCTGAAAGCCAATATGATGCTGTTGCTGCATCAGATGTCTCTACAGAATTTCTGCAGCTTCTCCCAACACTCTCCACCCACTCTCCATCTGGCATGGTGCTTCTGTATAAAAAACCATGAATCTGAATCTCCTGGGAGGAATGGATCATACATTTTGCTTGCGTCTGTGTTTATCATGGTCAGGAGTTAGCCAGACCCAAACAAAGTAACATCTCCAATACAATAAGTATATGCCACCTTACTCTCGAATGACAAGAGGATTGATGTATGATGATGTATTTTGACCTTATCTCCTGAGTACTAGCCCATTCAAGTGCTTGATGTGATGCTTTGAAAAACACATCAGTGTTAAGCTACAATGTCATGAAATGATTGATGGTCTTGAATACATGCATATACAGTAGCGTTGTGCTTCCAGGCCCTGGCTAACAACGGTATTAGTCTGACAGGGAAGGACACTCGTGGCAGTACCCCCCTACACCTGGCGGCCGCCCACGGCAACTCCTTCAGCCTCCACACCATACTGAGAACAGGAGTGGTAAGTCCCAACACCTCCTCCCTCCCACCATACTGAGAACAGGAGTGGTAAGTCCCAACACCCCATACTAAGAACAGGAAAGTCCTCCCTCCCACCATACTGAGAACAGGAGTGTAAGTCCCAACACCTCCTCCCTCCCACCATACTGAGAACAGGAGAGTAAGTCCAAACACCTCCTCCCTCCCACACACCATACTGAGAACAGGAGAGTAAGTCCCAACACATCCTCCCACACACCACACTGAGAACAGGAGAGTAAGTCCCAACACCTCCCTCCCACACACATAACTGAGAACAGGGGTGTAAGTCCCAACACCTCCCCCCCACACACCACACTGAGAACAGGAGAGTAAGTCCCAACACCTCCTCCCTCCCACCACACTGAGAACAGGAGAGTAAGTCCCAACACCTCCCTCCCACCACACTGAGAACAGGAGAGTAAGTCCCAACACCTCCTCCCACACACCACACTGAGAATAGGAGAGTAAGTCCCAACACCTCCTCCCACACACCACACTGAGAACAGGAGAGTAAGTCCCAACATCTCCTCCCACACACCACACTGAGAACAGGAGAGTAAGTCCCAACACCTCCTCCCTCCCACACACCACACTGAGAACAGGAGAGTAAGTCCCAACACCTCCTCCCTCCCACCATACTGAGAACAGGAGAGTAAGTCCCAACACCTCCCTCCCACACACCATACTGAGAACAGGAGAGTAAGTCCCAACACCCCGTATCCACACACCATTATGAGAACAGGAGTGGTAAGTCCCAACACCTCCCTCCCACACACCATACTGAGAACAGGAGAGTAAGTCCCAACACCTCCTCCCACACACAATACTGAGAACAGGAGAGGTAAGTCCCAACACCTCCTCCCTCCCACCATACTGAGAACAGGAGAGTAAGTCCCAACACCTCCTCCCTCCCACCATACTGAGAATAGGAGAGTAAGTCCCAACACCTCCTCCCTCCCACCATACTGAGAATAGGAGAATAACCCAGCACCTCCCTCCCACACACCATACTGAGAACAGGAGAGTAAGTCCCAACACCTCCTCCCCCCACCTGAGAACCACACACCACACTGAGAACAGGAGAGTAAGTCCCAACACCTCCTCCCTCCCACCATACTGAGAACAGGAGTGTAAGTCCTCCTCACACCATACCCAACACCTCCCTCCCACACACACACACACTGAGAACAGGAGTGTAAGTCCCAACACCTCCCTCCCACACACCATACTGAGAACAGGAGTGGTAAGTCCCAACACCTCCCTCCCACACACCACACTGAGAACAGGAGTGGTAAGTCCCAACACCTCCTCCCTCCCACCATACTGAGAACAGGAGTGGTAAGTCCCAACACCTCCTCCCACACACCATACTGAGAACAGGAGTGTAAGTCCCAACACCTCCTCCCTCCCACCATACTGAGAACAGGAGAGTAAGTCCCAACACCTCCCTCCCACCACACTGAGAACAGGAGAGTAAGTCCCAACACCTCCTCCCTCCCACCATACTGAGAACAGGAGTGGTAAGTCCCAACACCTCCTCCCACACACCATACTGAGAACAGGAGTGTAAGTCCCAACACCTCCTCCCTCCCACCATACTGAGAACAGGAGTGTAAGTCCCAACACCTCCTCCCCACACACCACACTGAGAACAGGAGAGTAAGTCCCAACACCTCCTCCCACACACCACACTGAGAACAGGAGAGTAAGTCCCAACACCTCCATCCCTCCCACCATACTGAGAAACAGGAGTGTAAGTCCCAACACCTCCTCCCACACACCACACTGAGAACAGGAGAGTAAGTCCCAACACCTCCTCCCTCCCACCATACTGAGAACAGGAGTGTAAGTCCCAACACCTCCTCCCACACACCATAATGAGAACAGGAGAGTAAGTCCCAACACCTCCCTCCCACACACCATACTGAGAACAGGAGAGTAAGTCCCAACACCTCCTCCCACACACCATACTAAGAACAGGAGAGTAAGTCCCAACACCTCCCTCCCACACACCATACTGAGAACAGGAGTGTAAGTCCCAACACCTCCCTCCCACACACCATACTGAGAACAGGAGAGTAAGTCCCAGCACCTCCTCCCACACACCATACTGAGAACAGGAGTGTAAGTCCCAACACCTCCCTCCCACACACCATACTGAGAACAGGAGTGTAAGTCCCAACACCTCCCTCCCACACAGCATACACTGAACTGAATCATTAATTCTATGTATGATACAGGTGATTGTGTACATGTTTGTAAAATCATAAGCTACTGAACCAGAAGACAAATCGAGATTACAGAGATGAATTTATGACAGGATGTGAATGCCCTGGACAAGCATGGATGGACGCCGATCCACTCTTCTGCATATCATGGGCGTCTGGGATGCATCCAGTTGCTGGTCAAATGGGGAGGTTATCTTGACGAGGTGGAAAACAATGGTAACACACCAGGTATGTACACAGCCCAGTGTGTGAAATAGCCACTAGCCCGTTAGCCCGTGGGACTGCCTCTGTGGTGTAGTGGTTAGAGTGTCCGCCTGTAGAGCAGAGGGTCGTGGGTTCCAAAACACGTTAAATTATGGTACTTGTTGATCCCTGCCTGGCGCTCAGCATTAATGGGTACAACAAGGACTGGTCGGCTCGGAGACAGTATAATGTGTCTGAGTGAGGTATTCATGCTTAACTGCCACATGATATTTCAGTGAGCTTGCACTATAAAATCAGCTAAAGTCTGGGCTAGTACAAGCAGCCGCACATACACACGCAAGCATGTGGTCATATGAGCGAAATATTCTTAATTTTGACATTAACCCCATTTCACCTCACCTCACCGTTAGCCCGTGGCTAGTAAAAGTCCACTCGGGCCAGGAAATCTCCACAGACACTGGCCTGACTGGCTAGTGAATTTTCATGGGGTCATTTTGTAAATTTATCTAGTTAGTAGTGCAATGGTTTTACTATGTATGCTGTATTCATGAACAAGTGTTCAAATCTATACATACCCATTGATTCCATTGTGTTTTGTGTCCAGCCCACCTGGCAGCTATGGAGGGCCACCTGCCCTGCCTCAAATACATTGTCACCAACTCCGGCAACACCATGCACACACTGGGTGCTAGGAACGACAATGGCGAAACACCCAAAGACCTGGCCCAACAGTTCTACAAGGAGAACATCCTGGAGTACATCAACAACATAGAGTGGGAAAGAGATCACCCAGTGCAGGCTGAGAGTAAGTATCAGACATCTGTATCAGACAGCAGTGTCAGACATCAGTATCAGACATCAGTGTCAGACATCTGTATCAGACATCTGTGTCAGACATCTGTATCAGACATCAGTGTCAGACATCTCTATCAGACAGCAGTGTCAGACATCTGTATCAGACATCAGTGTCAGATATCTGTATCAGACATCAGTGTCAGACAGCAGTATGAGACATGTGTATCAGACAGCAATGTCAGACAGCAGTGTCAGACATCTGTATCAGACATCAGTGTCAGACTTCTGTATCAGACAGCAGTGTCAGACAGCAGTGTCAGACATCTGTGTCAGACATCTGTATCAGACATCTGTATCAGACATCAGTGTCAGACATCAGTGTCAGACATCTGTATCAGACATCTGTATCAGACAACATCTGTATCAGACATCAGTGTCCGACATCAGTGTCCGACATCTGTATCAGACATCAGTGTCAGACATCTGTGTCAGACATCTGTATCAGACATCTGTATCAGACATCTGTGTCAGACATCTGTATCAGACATCTGTATCAGACATCAGTATCAGACATCAGTGTCAGACATCAGTGTCAGACATCAGTGTCAAACATCTGTATCAAACATCTGTATCAGACATCAGTGTCAGACATCTGTATGAGACATCAGTGTGAGACATCTGTATCAGACATCAGTGTCAGACATCTGTATGAGACATCAGTGTCAGACATCTGTATGAGACAACAGTGTCAGACATCTGTATGAGACATCAGTGTCAGACATCTGTATGAGACAGAAGTGTCAGACATCTGTATGAGACAGCAGTGTCAGACATCTGTATCAGACATCAGTGTCAGACATCTGTATCAGACAGCAGTGTCAGACATCTGTATCAGACATCAGTGTCAGACATCTGTATGAGACATCAGTGTCAGACATCAGTGTCAGACATCTGTATGAGACATCAGTGTCAGACATCTGTATGAGACATCAGTGTCAGACATCTGTATCAGACATCAGTGTCAGATATCTGTATCAGATATCAGTGTCAGACATCTGTATCAGACAGCAGTGTCAGACATCTGTATCAGACATCAGTGTCAGACATCTGTATGAGACATCAGTGTCAGACATCTGTAAGAGACATCAGTGTCAGATATCTGTATCAGATATCAGTGTCAGACATCTGTATCAGACAGCAGTGTCAGACATCTGTATCAGACAGCAGTGTCAGACATCTGTATCAGACATCAGTGTCAGACAGCAGTGTCAGACATCTGTATGAGACATCAGTGTCAGACATCTGTTATGGCATCAGTGTCAGACATCTGTATGAGACATCAGTGTCAGACATCTGTAAGAGACATCAGTGTCAGATATCTGTATCAGATATCAGTGTCAGACATCTGTATCAGACAGCAGTGTCAGACATCTGTATCAGACATCAGTGTCAGACATCTGTATGAGACATCAGTGTCAGACATCTGTATGAGACATCAGTGTCAGACATCTGTATGAGACATCAGTGTCAGACATCTGTATGAGACATCAGTTTCAGACATCAGTGTCAGACATCTGTATGAGACATCAGTGTCAGACATCTGTAAGAGACATCAGTGTCAGATATCAGTGTCAGACATCTGTATCAGACAGCAGTGTCAGACATCTGTATGAGACATCAGTGTCAGACATCTGTATGAGACATCAGTGTCAGACATCTGTATCAGACATCAGTGTCAGACATCAGTGTCAAACATCTGTATCAAACATCTGTATCAGACATCAGTGTCAGACATCTGTATGAGACATCAATGTGAGACATCTGTATCAGACATCAGTGTCAGACATCTGTATGAGACATCAGTGTCAGACATCTTTATGAGACAGCAGTGTCAGACATCTGTATGAGACATCAGTGTCAGACATCTGTATGAGACAGCAGTGTCAGACAGCAGTGTCAGACAGCAGTATGAGATATCAGTATCAGACATCTGTGTCAGACAGCTGTATGAGACATCTGTATCAGACAGCAGTGTCAGACAACATCTGTATCAAACATCTGTATCAGACATCAGTGTCAGACATCAGTATGTGTCAGACATCAGTGTCAGACATCTATATCAGACATCAGTATCCAACATCTGTATCAGACATCAGTATCCAACATCTGTATCAGACATCTGTATCAGACATCAGTATCAAACATCTTTATCAAACATCTGTATCAGACAACATCTGTATCAGACATCAGTATCAGACATCTGTATTAGACATCTATATCAGACATCAGTGACAGACATCAGTGCCAGACATCAGTGTCAGACATCTGTATCAGACATCAGTGTCAGGCATCAGCATGTATCAGACATCTGTATCAGACAACATCTGTATCAGATATCAGTGTCAGACATCAGTGTCAGACATCTGTATCAGACAACATCTGTATCAGACATCAGTATCAAACATCTGTATGAGATATCAGTGTCAGCCATCTGTATCAAACATCTGTGTCAGGCATCTATATCAGACATCAGTGCCAGACATCTGTATCAGACAACATCTGTATCAGACATCAGTATCAAACATCTGTATCATATATCAGTGTCAGCCATCTGTATCAAACATCTGTGTCAGGCATCTATATCAGACATCTGTGTCAGGCATCAGTACATGTGACATCTGTATCAGACATCTGTATCAAACATCAGTACATGTGACATCTGTATCAGACATCAGTATCAAACATCTGTATCAGATATCAGTGTCAGCCATCTGTATCAAACATCTGTGTCAGGCATCTATATCAGACATCTGTATCAGACATCAGCACATGTGACATCTGTATCAGACATCAATATCAAACATCTGTATCAGATATCAGTGTCAGACATCTGTATCAGACATCTTTATCAGACATCTGTGTGAGGCATCTATATCAGACATCTGTGTCAGGCATCTATATCAGACATCTGTATCAGACATCAGCACATGTGACATCTGTATCAGACATCAATATCAAACATCTGTATCAGATATCAGTGTCAGACATCTGTATCAGACATCTTTATCAGACATCTGTGTGAGGCATCTATATCAGACATCTGTGTCAGGCATCTATATCTGACATCTGTATCAGACATCAGTATGTGTTCTCTGAACCCCTGTGTTGTAGACCTAGCATCCCCTGTACATGTTCTCTGGTACAAGTACCTCTTTGTTGTAGACCTAGCATCCCCTGTACATGTTCTCTGGTACAAGTACCTCTGTGTTGTAGACCTAGCATCCCCTGTAGATGTTCTCTGGTACAAGTACCTCTGTGTTGTAGACCAAGCATTCCCTGTACATGTTCTCTGATACAAGCACCTCTGTGTTGTAGACCTAGCATTCCCTGTACATGTTCTCTGATACAAGTACATCTGTGTTGTAGACCTAGCATTCCCTGTACATGTTCTCTGATACAAGTACCTCTGTGTTGTAGACCTAGCATCCCCTGTAGATGTTCTCTGGTACAAGTACCTCTGTGTTGTAGACCTTGCATTCCCTGTAGATGTTCTCTGATACAAGTACCCCTGTGTTGTAGACCTGGCATTACCTGTACATGTTCTCTGGTACAAGTACCTCTGTGTTGTAGACCTAGCATCCCCTGTACATGTTCTCTGATACAAGTACCTCTGTGTTGTAGACCTAGCATTCCCTGTAGATGTTCCCTGATACAAGTACCCCTGTGTTGTAGACCTAGCATCCCCTGTACATGTTCTCTGATACAAGTACCTCTGTGTTGTAGACCTAGCATTCCCTGTAGATGTTCTCTGATACAAGTACCCCTGTGTTGTAGACCTAGCATCCCCTGTACATGTTCTCTGATACAAGTACCTCTGTGTTGTAGACCTAGCATCCCCTGTAGATGTTCTCTGATACAAGTACATCTGTGTTGTAGACCTAGCATTCCTTGTACATGTTCTCTGATACAAGTACCTCTGTGTTGTAGACCTTGCATTCCTGTTGATGTTCTCTGATACAAGTACCTCTGTGTTGTAGACCTAGCATTCCCTGTAGATGTTCTCTGATACAAGTACCCTGTGTTGTAGACCTAGCATTCCCTGTAGATGTTCTCTGATACAAGTACCTCTGTGTTGTAGACCTAGCATTCCCTGTACATGTTCTCTGATACAAGTACCCCTGTGTTGTAGACCTAGCATCCCCTGTACATGTTCTCTGATACAAGTACCTCTGTGTTGTAGACCTAGCATTCCCTGTAGATGTTCTCTGATACAAGTACCCCTGTGATGTAGACCTAGCATTCCCTGTAGATGTTCTCTGATACAAGTACATCTGTGTTGTAGACCTAGCATTACTTGTACATGTTCTCTGGAACAAGTACCCCTGTGTTGTAGACCTAGCATCCCCTGTAGAAGTTCTCTGATACAAGTACATCTGTGTTGTAGACCTAGCATCCCCTGTAGATGTTCTCTGATACAAGTACATCTGTGTTGTAGACCTAGCATTCCTTGTACATGTTCTCTGATACAAGTACCTCTGTGTTGTAGACCTAGCATCCCCTGTACATGTTCTCTGATACAAGTACCTCTGTGTTGTAGACCTAGCATTCCTGTACATGTTCTCTGATACAAGTACCTCTGTGTTGTAGACCTAGCATTACCTGTACATGTTCTCTGATACAAGCACCTCTGTGTTGTAGACCTGGCATTACCTGTACATGTTCTCTGATACAAGTAACTCTGTGTTGTAGACCTAGCATCCCCTGTAGATGTTCTCTGATACAAGTACATCTGTGTTGTAGACCTAGCATTACTTGTACATGTTCTCTGGTACAAGTACCCCTGTGTTGTAGACCTAGCATCCCCTGTAGATGTTCTCTGATACAAGTACATCTGTGTTGTAGACCTAGCATCCCCTGTAGATGTTCTCTGATACAAGTACATCTGTGTTGTAGACCTAGCATTCCTTGTACATGTTCTCTGATACAAGTACCTCTGTGTTGTAGACCTAGCATCCCCTGTACATGTTCTCTGATACAAGCACCTCTGTGTTGTAGACCTGGCATTACCTGTACATGTTCTCTGATACAAGCACCTCTGTGTTGTAGACCTGGCATTACCTGTACATGTTCTCTGATACAAGTACCCCTGTGTTGTAGACCTGGCATTACCTGTACATGTTCTCTGATACAAGTACCTCTGTGTTGTAGACCTAGCATTCCCTGTACATGTTCTCTGATACAAGTACCTCTGTGTTGTAGACCTAGCATTCCCTGTAGATGTTCTCTGATACAAGTACTCCTGTGTTGTAGACCTAGCATCCCCTGTAGATGTTCTCTGATACAAGTACCTCTGTGTTGTAGACCTAGCATCCCCTCTAGATGTTCTCTGATACAAGTACCTCTGTGTTGTAGACCTAGCATTCCCAGCACATGTTGCGGCCTCAAATGGAGACTTGGATCATGTGAGAATGTTGGTGGAGAATGGTGTTGTCAACATCAATGAGAGGGATGACAAGGGATCAACACCAGCTCACAAAGGTAGGCACACTTGCTTTATCCAAATGTACAGTTTTCCCAGAAATTATTGAGAAAATCTTCGTTTCCTACTGATAACAGAATTTTAAAATAGGTGTTACATTATGTTGTAAGGTACTCAATATGGGAGGCAACTCTTTTATGCTTAACAATGCACCTTACTATATCAAGAGTTATCTCCCCTGGTGTAGCAGACAGCTTCCTTTCTTGACATGGCAGATTTGACAGAGGAGAGAATAGAAAGCTGGTTCAAGATAATTTGGGGTGTCATTAATGCAAAAGCGTTAGCTGGTAGACATGACATTCCCCTGTCTACAGTATACAGAACTTTGAAGAATATTCAGTCAGTAGTTATCACTGAGCACAAGACAGGGGCAGGGAGGCCAAGGAAGTTCAGTACCACAGATCGCCAGTGACTTGGTCAGATTGTGAGTAGGGTCTCAATTGAAAAGCTTTGAGAATATCAGAAATGAGATGATTACTAGAGCCTCAGGTATGTAATGAAACCCTTAGACAAGAATTACAAAGACTTAATTCGGTGAAAAAATGCTGAATTCCCTCACCATTGATGAAAGATGCACAAAAAGAAAGACATTTAAACTGGTGTAGGGCTCGCAAAAATCAAGATTGGGATGATGTTTTCTTTACTGATGAAAGTTCTGTCTGGCTTTTCCGAACTGTGTGAAAATTTGGGCAAAAGATACCGCGAAATCTACCAACTTCCAAAGCATAGCCCGAAATTTCACATGTGGGGTGGGGTATCATCAAGTGGAGTGATGCCGTTGTGTATTTTCACTGGAAATTTGACAAAGGAACGATATGATGACATCTTAAATGGTCACCTCCTTCCAACGGCTCAAACACTGTATGAAGATAACTGGATTTTCCAGCATGATAACAACCCAAAACACACTGCGAGCTACACAAAACAGTTGTTGTCGGACGAAAATGTTCAAGTTTTAGACTGGCCAAAATACAGCCCAGATCTTAACCCTATTGAGAATGTGTGGGGACTAATAAGGGACAGAATAGCCCCAAAAGGACTTAAAAATATGGAGGATATGAAGAAAGAAGCGGTTGAATATTGGGATACGCTGTCACACGATTTCCAACACACTTTGATAGGTAGTGTACCTAGGTGCATTCAGTCGTGTATTGCTGGGCAAGAACGTCTCAAAACGTTTTGAAAAGACACTTAGACTGTAAGAGAATCATATCTCAACATATTCATTTAAGTAAAACTTCTACAGTTTATATGTACATGTATTATATATTTACGGAAACAAATATCATAAATACCATGTCTCCTGTGTGTTATTGTCCAGCTGCTGGCCAGGGCCACATCCACGTGCTGCAGTGGCTTATTGAGATGGGGGCAGACATGGCCATCATGAACCAAGCTGGAGAAACTCCAAAGGATGTGGCTCGCAGGTTCTCGCAGCTGGCCTGCATCAAGCTTCTTGGAGGTGACACAGAGCAGGACACTGAAGTAGTTGTTGACGACCCCCGGGAAGAGGAGATGGGCGGGGATGTTCGGTCCAACCAAGCTATGGCAAAGGGTAGGCTTCAACACTGACTGACTGAAACCACACATTGCCATGGATGGCAAACTGATCTTAATTATTCAAATGTGTTACTTCTCACCAGCAGTGAAACACACTGTTTTCTTCCGGAAGTTTTGTATATTTCCTCAAACTTACTGATACACATCATAATTAATCAACATTTAGCTAACAGTTATCAATCTCCATCATCTATGCACATGATCCCTACACAGTCCACAGTTGTTGCTTAAGGGCAAATGTCATTAAGCTGCATTTGTAATGACAGGTCGGGCAAAGATGCGTGTGGATGAGCTTGAGCGTCTCCTTGAGATTGCCAAGAAAAACTTCAGCCAGCTTGGTGGCACCATGGTGGAGGACAGACATCGCTTACAGCTGATGAGAGACAAGGATCAGTAAGTGCAGCCTGGTATAAAGAGAGATGTCAACCCAGATATAAGGAGGGGAGCTCTCCACCCTGATTTAAGGACTCTGGGGAGATGTGCACACTTACAATGATATATTCATGGGGACTATTTCTGTCTGATGTGAATGTAGTCACATGTTTGCCACTAGAACTATATGAGAAAATATCTGGAACTATATGAGAAAATATCTGGAACTATATGAGAATATATCTGGAACTATATGAGAAAATTTCTGGAACTATATCAGAAAATATCTGGAACTATATGAGAAAGTGTCAAACTATAGGAAAATATATGAGCTCTAATTAGATCTACACTAGCTACAAGCCAGGGATACATTGTTTGCCTGAGACATTGTTGTATACTGAGGTGTTGAGGTGAGCTTGGTCTCTGTGCAGCACCATCAAGGAGCTGGAGACTCTGCTGGAGTATGAGAGGGTCAAGCGTGAGAAACTGGAGTGTCAGCTGGACGACTTCCGGCGGGAGCTGGCCTTCCTGCGCTCACACCTGGACAACACAAAGATGGACCCTGTAAGTACCCAGCGTGGAGTACCTGACGTGTGTGTAAGTACCCAGCATCTGTATCAAGTAAACGGACCACCAACACTGGTGCACCACAAGGTTGTGTAATATCTCCTGTTCTTTTCACCCTCTACACTAATGATTGTACAAGCTCGAATTCAACCTGTTCAACTGTAAAGTTCGCAGATGATGCAGCAATTGTCGGCAAACTGAACGATGCTGATTCTGAAGAACTGTATAAAGAGGACATTAATCATTTTACGACTTGGTGTGCAGAAAACCGCTTACTCTTAAATGTCACAAAAACAAAGGAACTGATAATTGACTTTCGGAGTAAACCATCAGAACTGCTTCCAGTGATAATCAACGGTGAATGTGTTGAGACAGTGTCGGAGTATAAGTATCTGGGAACCTTCATTGACTCTAAGCTGAACTGGAACTCTAACACTGAAGCCCTATACAAAAAGTGTCAACAACGTCTTCATCTCATGTGTAAACTGAGATCTTTTAATGTTAACCCATCTGTGATGTCATCTTTTTATGTAGCATTTATTCAGAGTATTTTAACATTTTCCTTCCATTGTTGGTACGGGTCTCTCTCAGTCCATCTCAAATCTAAAAAAGACAAAATTGTTAACACTGCAAGTAAAATCGCTGGAGTCAGATTTGAATGTTTATCATCAATATATGAGCGGCAAATCGTGAATCAAGCTGTCAAAATCATATCTGACCGTACTCACTACTTAAATTCGGAATACAACCTTCTCCCTTCAGGCCGCCGATACAATGTTCCAATTGTGAAAACTAAGAGAGCCTGCACATCCTTTATTCCAAGTACCATATCTCTCCTAAACAAATGTGAAGATGCCTAAATCAAAGAATTTATGTAAATATGTTTGGTATCTGTCTAATGTGTCAGTAGCTCTGCTGATGTAACACAAATTCCTGAAAAGGCATTAAAGTATTATTCTATTCTATGTATAAGTGCAATAATCTGGAAGGCAATGTAGAACCCTGCCTTACCTAACTAGTATAGTGTGTGTGTAGTGTGCCTGCTGCAATGTGTGTGTTTCATTGTGTTGTGTGTCAGACTGAAATAACTGAATGTTTCAGATGAGTGACGAGGACTTAAGACAACGGTCCCGTAAGAAGAGATCTGGATCCGCAAAGAAGAAGAGCTACGGTGATGGTGGAGTGTTCATCAGGAGGAGTGTCACGGTTCCAACTAAAGGCAGCCGCACTCGGATAGTATAGCACATTCACCCTGTACAGATACCACACTTCTCAGTATAAACGTATGGTATTCACCTCAATACTGTACCAGTTTATGGTACTGACCCATAGTAAGGTGGCCGCGAGAGTCCTTTCTGCCATCATCAGATGTCTGGAGCCTTATAGCGTGAGTGCAACCCAGAAGACTGCCCTGTGGTTTAAAGACACTGCAGTACATTTTAAAACTGGTGGAAGAGAGATTTAGTTCAGTTATGGATTTCTAACTTCATATTTTGTTTTCCATTCCTAATTATGATACTGAGTTACACACATGACCACTCTACCCAAAGCCACAACAGTGAGCCTGTGCTCTGGCACCAACTCCCAGGAAGTACAGTTTTGGCTGGTCAAGGGGTCAAGGGAAGCACCATGTAACAAAGTAGCAGTAGCAATATGCCTTGGTCTTGCTTCCCCTGTTCAGGAATATAGAGCCACACTACAGACCAACAAAGCTTGGTCTGGTTTACACATACTGATCATCTCAGAGTGTCTCAGTTAAGAGTAGCAATGTTCACCTTGCTCCCACCAACAGTGGGAGACCTACAGTTTACATGTTTCTATGTATGAAGGTACTCAAGGAAATAGAAATAAAATGGCTTTTGGTGTTTATTTGTTTATTACTTCATTAAAACAGGTAGTCATAACAAATATTAATATAACTATGTTTTTCCCAACTGGGCCTTTTAATTTGGTCCTCTAATCATCATCCAAAATACCATTTTATATGTAAAAAAAACAAAAATTTGCATATTATCCACAAAATTAGAAACATGTTATAACACAATCAACAATTGGTGGAAACAACTACCTTTACAGTGGGTTGCCATAGCGATTGTGCACTTGACAGTCAAAGCTATGAATGAACTCATAAAAATAGTACATTCAAAATCCCTAAATCAATTATTTTGTATATGAATTTTGCTAAAAGACCTAAAAGGATGAATGGTATATGACATTTTTCATAAAACATATTATGTACCCGAACCTGTGGAGATTACATCTCATCTGCATACTATAGCTTGAATCAGAAATGTACATTTTGACTTTGATGAAATTTCAAGGGGTAAAATTGACTCGATTACCTCTCCTGTAAACTCATCTATTTCGGATGAATTTACCAAAAGTGATAAAAACAAAACGTTGGGAAAAACGATAGTCACAGAATATTTAACAGTCAAACTTTAGTTGTGTTAAAAACTACGAAATACACGCCAAAAACCATTTTGTTTCTATTTCCGTGAGTACTATAGGTGGTACTGTTGTATATAAAGAGATCTGTATTTGTTGTATGATATATTCTATATACAGATCTGTACAGTCAAGTGTCCACTCATAGGTGTCAATGTCTTGCTTTTACTTGTAATGATAAAGTATTGCAATAAATCTACAAATACCTGGTAATGGTTGCCTTCTAATGATTTTTCCAGAGCTTGTGCAGATTTTGCTCCCAGAACCCTGTGACTGAGTGTTCGAATCCCAGTTGACTCTGCTTATATTTCTAGTCAGAACCGTATGATTGAGTGTTCGAATCCCAGTTGTCTCTGCTTATATTTCTAGTCAGAACCCTATGATTGAGTGTTCGAATCCCAGTTGTCTCTGCTTATATTTCTAGTCAGAACTCTATGATTGAGTATTCGAATCCCAGTTGTCTCTGCTTATATTTCTAGTCAGAACTCTATGATTGAGTGTTCGAATCCCAGTTGACTCTGGTTATATTTCTAGTCAGAACCGTATGATTGAATGTTCGAATCCCAGTTGTCTCTGCTTATATTTCTAGTCAGAACCCTATGATTGAGTGTTTGAGTCCCAGCTGACAGCTTATATATGATTTAGTGTTGGAATCCCAGTTGACTCTGCTTATATTTCTAGTCAGAACCGTATGATTGAGTGTTCGAATCCCAGTTGTCTCTGCTTATATTTCTAGTCAGAACCGTATGATTGAGTGTTCGAATCCCAGTTGTCTCTGCTTATATTTCTAGCCAGAACTCTATGATTGAGTGTTCGAATCCCAGTTGACTCTGGTTATATTTCTAGTCAGAACCGTATGATTGAATGTTTGAATCCCAGTTGTCTCTGCTTATATTTCTAGTCAGAACCCTATGATTGAGTGTTCAAGTCCCAGCTGACAGCTTATATATGATTTAGTGTTGGAATCTCAGTTGACTCTGGTTATATTTCTAGTCAGAACCCTATGATTGAGTGTTCGAATCCCAGCTGACTGCTTATATATGATTGAGTGTTCGAATTCCAGTTGTCTCTGCTTATATTTCTAGTCAGAACTCTATGATTGAGTGTTCGAATCCCAGTTGTCTCTGCTTATATTTCTAGTCAGAACCCTATGATTGAGTGTTTGAATCCCAGTTGTCTCTGCTTATATTTCTAGTCAGAACCCTATGACTGAGTGTTCGAATCCCAGCTGACTGCTTATATATGATTTAGTGTTCGAATCCCAGTTGTCTCTGCTTATATTTCTAGTCAGAACTCTATGATTGAGTGTTCGAATCCTAGTTGTCTCTGCTTATATTTCTAGTCAGAACCCTGTGATTGAGTGTTCGAATCCCAGCTGACTGCTTATATATGATTTAGTGTTCGAATCCCAGTTGACTCTGCTTATATTTCTAGTCAGAATTCTATGATTGAGTGTTCGAATCCCAGCTGACTGCTTATATTTCTAGTCAGAACCCTATGATTTAGTGTTCGAATCCCAGTTGACTCTACTTATATTTCTAGTCAGAACCCTATGATTGTGTGTTCGAATCCCAGTTGTCTCCTCTTATATTTCTAGTCAGAACCCTATGATTGAGTGTTCGAATCCCAGTTGTCTCTGCTTATATTTCTAGTCAGAACCCTATGATTGAGTGTTCGAATCCCAGCTGACTGCTTATATATGATTTAGTGTTGGAATCCCAGTTGACTCTGCATATGTTTCTAGTCAGAACCGTATGATTGAGTGTTGGAATCCCAGCTGACTTCTTATATATGATTTAGTGTTCGAATCCCAGTTGTCTCTGCTTATTTTCTAGTCAGAACTCTATGATTGAGTGTTCGGATCCCAGTTGTCTCTGCTTATTTTCTAGTCAGAACTCTATGATTGAGTGTTCGGATCCCAGTTGTCTCTGCTTATTTTCTAGTCAGAACCCTATGATTGAGTGTTCGAATCCCAGTTGTCTCTGCTTATATTTCTAGTCAGAACCCTATGATTGAGTGTTCGAACCCAGCTGACTGCTTATATTTCTAGTCAGAACCCTATGATTTAGTGTTCGAATCCCAGCTGTCTCTGCTTATATTTCTAGTCAGAGCCCTATGATTGAGTGTTCGAATCCCAGTTGTCTCTGCTTATATTTCTAGTCAGAACTCTATGATTGAGTGTTCGAATCCCAACTGTCTCTGGTTATATTTCTAGTCAGGTTCCTATGATGGATCGTCTGTTTATATTTCTAGTTTTATCACCACCACACCACGTACATCTGGGATGGGATTCACGTTGGGTACTCCTCCCATGTCCCGCTGACATGGAGCCAGGAGTGGTTCAAGTCCCAGTTTGCCCTGGCGATGTCGATTTGTTACCACGATATCCATCCATTGTACATGTCTGAGACCGGCATCACCTCGCGCTCCCTCATTAAGCCACCATACAACTAGAACTGTCGTGGCGGTGTAACAGAATAAAACATGGTTAAAAGCTGACCGTAACCCAATTCACTAACAGCATAGTCATGCTTACATTTTTAAGCCATTCAGTTTACGTTATCAAAATCACTCTCTCTGTGAAATGAGCTACACGAAAACGGCAGTAATTTCAACAATTTGCCATTACGAAAACGGCGCCAATCAAATATGTGGCCGTTTCAACATGTTCCAGATAAGTATCCTACTGTAAGAAGCGAGCGTAAAATATGGTGACGGCAATCATTCTGGGTGGAAAGAGAAAAGAGGTCATCTCAAGTCGCTGCTTGTCAGTAGCTGACAGTGCTATAAACTGTTGTGGGTGTGGTGTCTACGCTTGACATGCAGTACAATAGGATTGACCCCACATACGCTGGCAGTAGGGAAACGTGTTTGACTAACTGCGGGCTATCGTTCTCCCTACCCAACCTTGCCACGACCCTACGTTCAGGAAGTAGCTGACTGCAGATCAGCCCATTTCGATAACCTGTGCAAACATAGACACTGAATTACGTAATCCAAGGATCACTCACGTAATGTGTCAGTCTATTACGTACGATCGTCAACGTATTGCTTCCTAGTTACGCGAGTCGTACATCGTCACGAGAATACAGTAAAACGTAGATCGTTACAAGGCCACAGCCACTGCATGGTACATTGTCACGAAGGTACAACCACGGGTACATCGTCACGAGGACACAGCCACGGGTACATCGTCACGAAGATACAACCACGGGTACATCGTCACGAGAATACAGTAAAACGTAGATCGTTACAAGGACACAGCCACGGGTACATCGTCACGAGGACACAGCCACGGGTACATCGTCACGTAGATACAAACACGTTTATACCGTCACAAGGATACAACCGCGGGTATATCGTCACGAGGATACAACCACGGGTACATCGTCACGAGGATACAGCCACGTTCACATCGTCACGAGGATACAATCAAGGGTCTATCGTCACGAGGATACAACCACGGGTATATCGTCACGAGGATACAGTCACGGGTATGTCTTCACGAGGATACAACCACGGGTATATCGTCACGAGGATACAACCACGGGTACATCTTCACGAGGATACAACCACGGGTACATCGTCACGATGAAACAGCAAATAGTACATCGTCACACGGAGACTTAAAACAGTTTTACACATATTCAATAGTGAGCCTACAATGGCCATCTAGAAAGGTGGCAAATGATATATTTCTTTAAAAGACACAAAGTTATCGAAAAAGGAAATGGTAGTTACCAACCTGAGGTGTGATTTGTGTCAGGTAAAATCTAAGTGTACAGTTATAACATCATGTAGCATTTTATTGTTAAAACCTAAAGTCTTGGGAATGTCGGTCTGTGCTCTTAAGAAAAATTAAAACAAACTGCAATCCCAGACTAGATGCACATACTGTTGCTCATGTTCAACTGTAGGGAGTGGTGAGTGGGCCGGCGAGCTCACTACCGCTTATCTCAACATACTGGCTGATAAGAGCAGATCAGGCTATACATTAGACTAAGGCTTAGTCTCTGAATATATATAATTTTGATAGTAACAAACAAGCCCATTTATATTGAAAAGGAGCCCTAGGGAGACCAGAGATTCAGAACCTGAACCTGAGGAAATCTAGACTTGCTTTATTTAGGGCTTTAGCACTGCAGAGAGGGCTTGGCAGTAGGGAAATTAATGTGGTTCAGGGACTGTGAGACAGACTAGCTATACATCTGTTCTCGTCTCTACATAGTCGCCAAGTTGTCTTACTGTCTGCTTCAAAATGTATATATGTTGATGCTATTTGTGTTCGTGAAGACCTGTTCCAGCGGCCAAATATAGTTTCACCTGGAACCCAACCTTATACCATCTTAATTTCTGCTATGAAAGAAGAACGGATCTGCATGTTCCTGTCGCAAGTCAATATACATTCAATATAATATTCATTACCCACAACCACCCGGTACACGACTTTCATTTCTCACCAAATGACAACAAAGTAGAGTGAGTGAGTGAGTTTAAGTTTACACCGAATTCAGCAATATTCCAGCTATATGGCGGCGGTCTGTAAATAATCAAGCCTGGGCGAGACAATCCAGTGATCAACAGCATGAGCATCTATCTGCGCAATTATGTGCAAGTGTGAAATATATGTTAAACTAAGTTCGGCCTAACTACAGTCTCAGTGGTAGGGACATAGGAAACGTAGAAAAGGGGCTTTACTGAGGAGAGATTAGTGCAGAAATGAGCAATGCGGGTTTTTTCTAAGTCCAAAACGATTTGTTTGGAACAGACCGTGGCTTTATGCAAATTAGTGTGCGACGATATTGTATTACAAAGGAAACCTTAAAAAATAATAACTTTCATGCTGAAACTATTTAGGATGTAGCTATCATGGAGCCTCACTATCACTATAAAAAGAAACAGGTTGGAGGGGTTGTCTCAAAAGCAAATCTGGACGGGTATCGCAGACGATCGTTGGGGTCGGGCTGGGGGATAGAGATATCAGCTAAGATAAGATAATCCTTTAGGGCAATTATACTGGGGAAGTACACGGCATGTCATAACAATTTACAAATAATATCCAGTCCTGTCGATCTTCGCGATTGGGTGGTCATGCCAACTATATATTTTGAGACATGTAATACGATGCGTTTCTATGGTTATCAGGTATCATACTCTTTTACATATCTCAACATAAACTTTATGAAAGAAAGACACGTAAGATGTTAA